GTATATTGGTCCTATTCAATAGGCAAGTTTACTAAGAAAATCCAACCATTTCTAACATTAAAAATACACACATCCTTTTTGAAACAAATTCATAAACTCAAATGAAACATAAAACTCACCTATCATAAATATTTAGCAACAGGTTGATCAGCAAGTCTACGGCTAAATCAATGTCTCCTGTGAATAAACCTTCTTTTTCTGCTGCAAAGTAAATGTCTGCTAGGACAGACTCCAGTTCCACTGTGTCTAGAGACAGACTGCTTTCTGATAGGCTGAGCTGGTGCCTAGCAAATACTCCTGAGCTGATCCGGAGAGGAGGAACTGGAAACAAATGGTGTTATTCTACAATAACAAATACTTGAAAATAGTTTTTGTACATTTATTATTTTAATCACTTAGAAACTACTAAACACTAGGTTGATCAAGATTAAATTAGTAAGGCTTTAGAATTATTGACGGTCAGCATTTTGTATTTATTTTTATGGTACTTTGATTTTATTACGGCGAATGCACCGGTCATAACTCTGGTCAAAAACAAAGATAGTGTGTCCAATTAAGATCAGATTTATCATCTTACATAATTTCGTACAATTATCAGCCTTCTTGCATTAAGAGGAAATTTATTATGGAGAAATATTAATAGCAAACTTTTCTTTGTTGAAGTTTTATGAGCTTCGAAACGATCTAGTCGAAGTTTACATAAAACTAGTTATTGATGAACTTTACGCAACCGAATATTTAATCATAAACAAGAATTCAAAATTATTTAGTATAGCATATTTCTAGTAAATAGTCGAAAACAGTAAATTCTTACTGAAATCCGATACATCACCATAAATGGTAAGAAAAATGTCAACAGGTAGCACTTGCACCTACCTCTCAGGTGTTTTTGAAAATCGTATATCTTGAATGCAACACGATAAGCGTTATATTTGATCCCGTCATATTCTTCAAGAGATTCCATAATCTTCTGAAACTCAGGATGATCATATTGTTGTTTACTAGACACCTCACTAAAAACAAAAAAGTTTTCAAAAGTTTTCAACTTGACGACGACAAAATAATGTACTCGATCTGTGAAAGTTTACGTACTCGATATAACACGGATACCCTGCCTCATTTTCCACTTTTTTCCAGTGTATTAACGACATATTGCCTGTTTTATTTCACAATTCCATTATTTATGAACAAAAACAGAAGAGCTGAAACAGCAAAATATATATTACTCAACCGTCGTAAAATATTCAAAAAATATAATAATTCTCTTCTAGATAAAAGTTTTAAAAGGTCAACTATTTAGGCGAATCATTACGATGCTTGTTCCGCATTAAATTTTTTATTGGTTGAACTATCTTAAAGCATGATTTCTATTGGCTAAAATATCAGTGGAATTTAGAACGAAAACTTGTACTAAATCACAAATATTGGAAAATTAAAGTCAAACAAATATAATCTCTAGGATGAAAATAATATTTTTCAAATATTCATAACTGCTTAAAATTATTTAATTCATAATTTACTTTTTTATTTTCGTTTAATTACTCATTAAAAAACATTAAAGCGGTCTTAGTGTTATGACTTAGCGTACATCGAAACGTAGTTTGATGACATTAGCTTGTTTTCTTTGACAAATCTGAATTCAAAGAATATTTTATCCAATAGGAGCAGAGCAGCGTTTGTTTACGTGAGATCTTAGCCAATCAAATAACGCTATACAAATTTATTTTTTATTAACATTTTCTAATTGTAACGGAGACGCCATTTTGCAAGCGTCACTTGGCGGCGTGTCGGGTATCCGCATTTTGACCCGAAATACCTTTGTTTAAATCATAATATTGTTTTGTTTCGTGTAATATGTCTTATCAATCAAGTGTAGCTCAAGACTCTTTAGCTGCGGCACAATTAGAGATGACCGGTAACCCCAACTCTTTGGCCTTGCGTCGGCCATTCGACCCGGTGGCGCACGACTTAGAAGCTAGTTTTCGATTGACACGATTTGCGGACTTGAAAGGAAGAAGCTGCAAAGTTCCCCAAGATGTTCTTGGTAAACTTGTGGAATCGCTACAACAGGACTACTCCCAACAAGAGGATCAATTTATGCATGTGGCGATCCCGCGCATCGGTATCGGCTTGGACTGTTCCGTAACGCCACTCAGACATGGAGGACTTTGTTTGGTCCAAACTACCGACTTCTTCTACCCTCTGGTTGACGACCCCTATATGATGGGTAAAATCGCGTGTGCTAACGTACTAAGCGACCTGTACGCGATGGGTGTTACAGAATGTGACAATATGCTTATGCTGCTCGGCGTGTCAACAAAGATGACTGAGAAGGAGCGTGATGTTGTGATTCCTCTAATTATGCGTGGATTCAAAGACTCTGCTCTAGAGGCTGGCACCTCTGTCACCGGTGGACAGACGGTCATTAACCCGTGGTGTGCAATTGGCGGGGTAGCCACTACAATCTGCCAACCCAATGAATATATTGTTCCTGATAATGCTGTTATGGGTGATGTACTTGTGTTAACCAAACCCTTGGGTACCCAAGTAGCCGTAAATGCTCATCAGTGGCTTGATCAACCTGAACGCTGGAATCGTATCAAGCTGGTTGTGTCTGAAGAAGATGTCCGTAAGGCGTATCACCGAGCAATGGATTCTATGAGCAGGCTCAATCGCATTGCTGCTCGTTTAATGCATAAATACAATGCTCATGGTTCCACAGATGTTACTGGCTTTGGCCTTTTAGGTCATGCACAGAACCTGGCTTCTCATCAGAAGAATGAGGTTTCATTTGTTATTCATAACTTACCAGTGATTGCCAAAATGGCAGCAGTAGCCAAGGCATGTGGCAATATGTTCCAACTGTTGCAAGGGCATGCTCCAGAGACATCAGGTGGACTGCTCATCTGCTTGCCCCGTGAACAAGCTGCAGCATATTGCAAAGACATTGAGAAGCAAGAAGGCTATCAGGCATGGATTATAGGAATTGTTGAGAAAGGCAACCGCACTGCCCGCATCATTGATAAGCCCCGAGTCATTGAAGTGCCCGCTAAAGATTAAACTAAGTTCAGTTCCAGACAGTTACAAATTTTATATTTTCTAAGTAATTAATTCTTGAGAACTGGATAAATTTAAAAATTTTATTTTGAATTTATTATGTATAACTTGGATCTTAAGTATTTTAGTTTGAGAGTTTGGTTTCCTCTGTTTTCTTGTAAGATAAGTTACTTAAGGTATATTGTTGTAAGAAAGCTTCTAGGAAACTCAATCTAGTGACTATTTTGGTGTTTATAAATCTAGATAAGATATCATAAATGAAAAGAGAATAATTCCATTAGGTACACATAACCTATTTGTTTGCAGCTTGTGGAATGTTTCTGCAACTTGTGAGATAAGTATAATGATTAGAATAAAGTTATTTTTCAGTCAATTTGTAGTTTTATTTTAGTTCAATAACAGAATAACCTTGAATATTAAATTCAATATTTAATTTTCCAAAACAGTTACATATTATTTTCAATGACTTGTTGCATAGTTCTCCACTACAAAAGAGTTACTAAGCCCAAAGCAATCAATTGAAACACATGTATTATCATAATTAAAACTTTATTCATCTGTTTCTAGTAAATTATGAATAACACAGCTATCTTTCTGCAAGCTGGGCCCAAAGAAAGTATACAATAAAATCCACTGTCATGCAATTATAATTGTTGTTTCTATAAACTACGTACATTTATTGCCAAAAAGGTTTAATTGCTAAATATAAGGCTGGTAGCACTTGACAAACATATTTACTAGCTAATGTGGATAGTATACTAATATGGGATGTACAGTAATTGGTGTTTACTATTACAACAGCAATCACATTTTATTCTAGCATGTGCACTCATTCACTGAATATTTGATACTACTAAATTAAAATCACAATCGCCTATTCCACAGCTTTGTGAAGTATTGATAACTCAAAATGGTGAAAAAAATCATTATAATATAGAATATCAATAATATTATTGATAAAAGTTATGAGAATAAGTTCTAACTCCATTGAAATTCGAATTTACACATCACTAAAACAAAATATTGGTGTTTTGAAAATTGAGTTATCAATATTACACAGTACCGTAAAATGGGGTGAATAGGGATATAAGGTCTTCATAGTATCGATTCACCCCTCTTCTGTCCCTCTTCGCCACTCAATCCCTATTCACCCCATTTTACCGTACAATCTATTTCAGACCAATAAATTGCAATTAATACATAATAATAATATACTTTTTATGTTATCATAAATAGCATCAAAATTAATGTTTGCAGTACTGCTTTCAAAATACGCAAATTAATTCAGTTGTCATTATAAAGTATATATTTAGTGCCTTAAACATCTAATAAGACTTCTTTCATGAACCTCTGCCTGATGCATGGCACAGTACATTCATGTACTCCAACAACAATAATTTTCGGCCTTTGTTAACTTGTGCCTACCTAATGAGAACTACTCATTGACACAGTATGCAAATAGGTTTACCATTATACTGCTTTCATTTAAAAAAAACAATAGTCAAAACAACAACCAATTATTTAGCACATCTGCAATAAAATAAATTTCAAAAATTATAATGCTACAGTAACAAATGTAGTTTCAATCAATATTGCATTAACTCAAGAATATTACTGAGGCACTAAAATTACTGAACACATTCTTAATTTTAGAATATTAAAATTATTTATACTATCAGATGAATTTAGATTCAAAGATATGAAACCTCCAAAGAGATATTTGTTGAGTTAAAAAAAAAAACTTATGAATAGAACATGGAATGAATATAATTCATACTTTGATTTTCAATATTCAATATCCACTGAAATATAAATAACTTACAGCCACATGTGAGAACAAATTAGTTCAAAGATCCTTGTAATGGCACTTGACTGTTGGATGTAGTTTTCTCAGAAGACATGGGACCAATACATTGAGAATCAATGTATAATTTGACCTAAGATGTGGAATACAAATGTTACAAAAATGCCATACACTTGAAAGTCTATAACTGAAGCACAAACTAACTGGCTGCCTTGTTTGCCGGTCTTCAGTTTAATGGAGAGTTTAGACAAGGCCTCTTGCGAGGTCGACTATCGTCGCCATTCTGTTCGATGTGGCTCTGGTCACGTTTTTTTGGTGAATTGTTGTTCTGAAATTGAGAAATTGGATTTATTAGAAAAGCAAGTACATTAATCTCTGTGAAAGGTAGGTGCAGCAGAATGTTTTCTATTTGAATTTTATTTTGTCTAGGTAGTCTGTCAATAAGCAACCTAATTAGGTACTTTTGCAGCTGCATATATTGTCCATAATGGTCATATAAAACTTATAAAACAATTTCAATGAATAATTTATTGCTTCTGAACACTATCCACTACAATGTCTGGACTATAACCAAGTTTTCCGAAAGATGTATTGTCTACTGCAAGTTGCAACAGGTTTATTGTCAAATGCGACAAGTTTACTGCAAGATGCGACAAGTCTTTGCGAGTTCTGACAAGAATTTAAAATTTTACACACACACAAAAAAATTGGGTTTTAAAAACATTGATGGCCAGTTACTAATTTCCTGAATTAGAAAATGCATTTCGACATTCATATTAAAACAACTTACAAGTATTTATTGGTTTTTAAGTTCAATTTAACCACCATGTTTTGAGTTAACCTGAAAAACTAGCCTCAATGTTCACAAACTAGCTGGTTAAAACCATGTAAAGTCATGGTAATTTTGACTACAATTATGATGTAACTACCTTCAATAATTAAATTGTGAATATAGGTTCAGTTTCTACTACAAAAAGAAAATCTAGGCTACTAGTGCTATGTTTAACATTATATAGTAAAGGTTAAAAGCAAATTTCTGATAAGTGTAGAGCTAAAAATAATCTTTACCTTTTTCTCCCATTGCTGATGAAGATACCTTAACAGTATATTTGTCTTTTCTGTTACAATTACTGAAAAAAGAAACAAACTCATTGGATTATTTTACATACAATTGGTTCTCATTATGAAATCTGAAAAGTATGAATGAATAGCTAATAACTATCTAATTAGATTTAGGTTATGTTGTATCTAGATCAACTTGATTAGTGTTAATGCGAATGCTGCTATAAATAACAAACTCATTTAGTCTTATTAGAATCGTATACTCAACTTTGCTCAGACGGTATATCCTTAGTTGGTAAATATATTGACGGTCTTTTCGAACAATTTCTAATCCCATGGTCCGTATTGAATAATGTGAAGTTATGCTCGTCGTACGACGGTAGATCCTTCAGGAATTCCATCACCGACTGCCGAAATATCACAATTCAATCAAACACTCTATTGAAAGGTACAACATCAAGGCCCAAGCATGGTGCGCAATACAATCACTTTTTGGCGAAATGTGGATCCAGTCCTCGCACTTACCATAGTAATCCTACAATGATATGGTCAGAGCTCGTTATTTAACAATCAACAATTTGACAAATCAAACAATAAAGCCAAAATAATCAAAAATAAAATCCTCAACGATCGCTTCCACCAGCAACCAGATGAGAATGACAGCTAGAACTAATGTTGCCGCATGTAAATATAAATAAACCAAATGAAAAAGGATTTTGTAACGAAATTGAACAAAGATTGACTGATTTTTTAACGAATATCTTGAAATTACGAATTATTAATTATTTGTAATTCTCAACTTTTCGCGATACGGATAATAGTTGATGAACGCAGTGAATAAAATATATATTATATTTTTTAAGAAACGTATGTACCACCTGAGTGGTAACATTACTGCAACAGATTAAAAAAACATATTAGCGGGAATTTCAAATGGTTCTTTTTTTCTTTTAATTTAAACTGAGCCGTTAGTTAAAGTTTCAAAATAATTAAACTTGCATTTAACAATTAATTTGACATTAAAGATGTACAGTTTGGTTAACACCAATTTTAACAGAACTTATAATCCAAGTGGACGACAAAATGCTTTATCGGATATTAAAAAGCTACTTACTTCCCGGGATACAACTGCACAAAATAAGGCTTGTGGATATTTGATCGAAGTTATTAGCCGTTACAACAAAAATTCAAATGAAGGTGCTCGTATGGTAGAATACTTACTCGACAATGACATAACTGTGTTCCTGTGTGAAGCTACCTCAAACCTAGATTTTACGCTGTTTAGGTACCTAGTATGAATTTTCCTTATGTAATTTGAGATTTTACAATGTAGTACAACACAACAGTCATGTGAAAGTAGAAGTAAGTACCTGCACAAACATGATGAATTAATTAAATGTAATTAGTGATTACTTACCATAAGAACATAATAATATCAACAGAGTAGGTAGGTACCTACTCTGTTACTTTACCTCAATACCTTACCAACATACTAGCTTTACATTTAACTATTTATTTGGTCAAATGATAAAAGTGCCTGCGCAACATCATTGCTCATGTTAATCCTCTCAGCTCGTGCTTATGACCTCTAGTAAGTATGGCTTGAAACTCGTCAAGCATACTCGATCAATTTACTCTAGTAAGCCAATATCTTATATCCTCAGATCAATCCTATCATGTCTCCGGCTTCTATGGCGTTCTCATCAGTTCTTCGCGGACGAGCACGCTGCTCACGCGATGACAGCCGTGTTGCGTGCGTTAGCGCACTACGCAGGGAGTGGTTCCAAGCCTCCTGTGGACGCCTGCCTGCACTTCTTATGCGATTTGTTGAATGGGTAAGAACTTAAGAAGCCAGAAGAAAGAATGAAATTAAGAGCCAAGTATTCCTAGCACATTTTTAATTCTTTGCTACAGGGTGTCTGTGAACAAGACTACTCCCCCTCTGTCACACCAAAGCGCTTATAGCGCTGTACAACTTTTAGCTTGTCTAAACGCTCTGGCTACTCACATCAGTACAAACCCAAACACCATTTTATCAAGCGCTTTAGTCCTTCACGCGCTGATTTCCTACCAACCGGAGAACTTGACTATAAACACGAATACAGCATCAGCTTTACTGGAAGTATTGAAGAAATGGTTAAGCTTGCTCATGGGAACGTTGAACCACTCCATGCTGGTAGGAGACAATGGAGTTTCTGGAATGTTCTACGTCGTCATTTGTCAAATTGGTCTGGATGTTTTTGGGTAAGTGGCATTTTTTATGACTACTTTCCTAAGACACTGTAATGTTCTTCTACGTATTGAACGTCTTATTATTAATGTGAAATTAATTTGGCACTGCTACTTTAACAATGAGGGACTTGCATCTTAAATACAGTGGACGCCCATTATTAACACAATTTAACCGAAGACTGTTCCACTAACTGACTTAAATATGACCGTAATAATCTTCTAGGCTAATAAAACTGGTCGGTCGGGATCAGAAAGCGGACTTTGTGCAGACGATACTGAGCGATGATCATGAGATAAATGCTTTGAGGCAGTGTGCCGGGCATATGGGAGAAGCTGTTAGGCTTGTAGTAGCTGAACTAATTACATTTACAAAGGTAAGTGACTTTAATAATAAAGCAAATATTGCACAACTAAATTCCTATATCCTAAAGATTTATTAAGACAACCTAAATCGAGAATGATTTGAGTAACTCGTTTGGACTATTCGAAATCAAACTAAATTTCTAAATAAACTCCTAATCAGACAGTAGTGCTTGCCCATTCTCCATAACCAAGAACAGAATACAATACAGTTCGAGAAGTACAACCAGTCGAGAGGCATCTTCTTGATGCCGAAGCTTGGTTTTCCATATTCTTTTTACCAGAAATAGTCGATGTACTACTTTTCATTCTGGACAAAGACTCGTGTTCTGCATTCGTATTTGTTAAAACGCGTCGAGCTACTGGCTAACCATGGTACATACTTATATTTCAGGAACATCAAAATCAAATTTCTACAGAAGAATACAACGTATTCCTAAAGTTATTGTTGATATTTTTCTACGATAATAGAAACAATGAGTATTTGACAGATTTCTGTGACTTGCTATTTTCGAAAGGATATTTAATGATGCTGCCACAGGTGCAAATAAATAGGTGAGTTTAACAATTAATCTAATAATAGGCAGAGCCGTATTATTCCTAAGGTAAATTAGACAAATGCCAAGAGTGCCAGGTTCCATAGTGGCGTTGCGGACGCTCGTGTACATATGCAGTGCTTGCTTAAGGCGCTTTCTAGGCTTCGCCCGCCTATCCTTCTCAAAATCCTCTAATAGAAGGTAAGTAGGACCATATCAATCGGCCTTAGAATGAAATCGGTTCGTAATATCATTTTAATGAAAATCTTACTGTGAACACCCAAAAAATTTTGGTCCTAATATAGGTCCCTGGGTAAACTTTACTTCTTTAGAAAATCAGTGTAAACTTTTGTTCACCAGAGTTACAAATTATTTTAGATTTCTATACAAAAGGACCTAAAATAATAAATAAGTATTCCTTTCAGAAACGACGTGTCTGTACGCAAAGTAAGCACACTAGTGCTTGGAGAAATGCTAAAGGTTCTAGCTGAAAAATATCTAAACGTGAACGATATACAGAATAGTGACAATTGTGCTAAAGATATTCACGTAAGTAACATTTGTTTACTTACTCAGTGCTATCACTATAGTGTATTACATTATTTAATTACAATTTCGAATTAAATAATCAGTGCTTCTTTATTTGGCGATAGCCATTTCCTAGCTAGATTGAAGTTTCTGCTGAATATTATCAGTGTTTTACACGGAGCGCCTTCAAATGGTTATCCTACAACCTACAGTCATGAGAAAATATTTCTAGGAACAATCTAATCAGTAAACTTAAGAATAAAAATGATCAAATTACCATCATCATAAGTATTACTATTTTATTTGCAGATGGGCTTAGTAGAGCTACAATATGGAATAGAGACACCTCATCGCATCGGTTTGCAACTGCAGAAAAATCAACCTTACAGCTTACTAATTTATATCTACTTTTACTGCCAGTCTTCGGACAAGTATTGAAATATTTATGAATGAAAATAATCAGATTTCTAACATTAATTCATTGTTTTTCTAGTTTAGTTTTTCACTTTTTAGCCCAGAAGAAGCAACAGCGCCACTTTTACCCTATCTAGTTGAGCATATTTTAAAACTGCCCAAATCGTTTAAGCCACCTGCTTATATTATTAAAGCACTGTGGCTTGTATTTGCTGTGAGTATTGTCTTACTATTATACCCCCAGTTATACTCTCCTAACCACTAACTTTTTCATATTAAAAAATGTGCAATTATTTTCTAAACATTAAATTCGTCTGCAGATGTCCACTATATCGAATGGCTCACTGGAATCTCTAGGCGAGCGAGTGTACCTGGAGAAGGCGACTGATCGTTTAATATCGATGTTATACCCAGACCCATCGATTTACTACACACATAACCCTGCGTTATTGCTTTGGGCTTTCACTTCGCAAAGGATTTCTCATTGTGTTAGGTTACATGTGGTAAGTTTGAAAATAGATACTAATACGAATAATACTTTAGAAAGATTTTATTTCCCCATAGAAAAAAAATATTTTACAGGAGACATTAACAGCTAAATTAACCTTTCTCAATTCAAAATCTATGGATTACCATCGATTTTAGATAAAAACTACATACAAATAATTTAAAAAATGGAGCGTAATCAATTCCGGGTTAATTTAATTTCGGCCATTAAAATATAAGACTCTGGGGTTGGACAAATGAAAAAGAAATAATGGAACACTTCTTACCGATTTTATCAACATAAAAGTAATATATTGACAGCCTCAAAATATACATATAATTGTACATAGTTTCTGATCAAAGCATTTCATTTCTAGCTGTCCCAATGGTTTAAATCCGAGGACTCATTGCCAGCAGACCTTACAACCCAGCCAATAGTTTGGGAACTTCTCTTGAACATTCTGATACAATGCAATGACAAAACAATAGTGGGCAACTGTATGGAAGCTCTCCACGTGTGCCTAGAAGACGGTGACGACGACTCTAGGCAGGACTTCGCTGGACTGATTTGGTCTATGCTCCCTAATGTCTTGTCGAAAGTTTTGATAGACACTGAATATCAAATAGGTTTTTAATCATGTCTTGCTTTAGTGGTATCAAGTTTATCTTTTCTTAGATTTCGTCTACCTCATTATATCTACTGAATTTATAATATTGTTTACTGTAGATCCACATCAACCACTCTCAGTTCTTTAGAGACAAATGCTTCTTTATTGGTCTCATCTTCTTTATTTACGTCATTTTCAATCTCATCACATCAATATGTTACGTTACAGAAACCTAAATCTTAATTTCCTATAATAAAAAACTTTATTATGAAATCTTCTCGTCTTTCAGACACAAACATTTGCCACTTTCTCGACCTAGCAACAACTCTGCCGCCCCTAGAGATAGACCAGATAGTGTGTTTAAAGACTGCGGTGCTTATAACTGCTATATTTTCAAAGAACCTGCCAGAACACTGCGAAGAAAGCACTAAGCATCATTATGAATACGTTTGCTTGAAACTTGGGCTATATTTGTTGAGTTTGAGTAATAGTCAGAACGATAATCGAGGTGAGAAAGACATTGTTAAAGAAATTTGCTAAACCAATCGTTCTTTGCTAAAGTACAATTTTGTAATGTTCCAGTTCTGTTAACTTACACCAATCGAGTAGGTTTTCTGCAATCAGTTCTCGCTGCAGCTGATAGTACCAATGAAAACGTGTCTTGTGCAGCTTTGCAGCTTCTCTCTTACGTCATCCACTACTTCACGAAGAATAATTATCAGGCAAGTTTTTTTATGATCCATAAACTTTTCGTCTTAATTTGCTCTTGTTTTGATGAATGACTTTCACATAATGTCCATTTTGAATTTGTCACGTTTATAATAGTAACCGTATTTTGTGATCTAACGCTTCTAGATTCCAAAATTTTGAGAAATCTGTAAAGATTTAAAACTTTCACTAGACCATCTTTTTTATTTAGCCAAAATCAGTGCTACAGATACAGACACACTTGATCATCAAAACTTTAAAAAGGGACAGTACTAATGAAAGAGGGGCTTCCTTATTGCAATTAGTTTATATGGTGTTAAATACGGGAGCATCTTCACCATTAGCATTGGCGTATAGTGTGGAAGACCAACCAACTGTGAACATACAGTGCAATGCGCTAAGGGCACTGATGTTGAGGATACAATTGATGCTTTGTTGTAGGGTAAGTTTAAATCCATTCAAATCTAGTACCGTTACTAACATATGTCAAGTTGTTGATCCTAGCCGTCATAAAGCAAAATAAAAATGTTGACAGAGTAGTCTGCACTTAGATCGGGGTCTCGTAGAACTCCGTATAAAAGGGTTCCTGTCACATAAAATAAAATGACATTCAAATGATATACCATTGTTCTTATAGGATTCCAAAAACCAATCAACAGCTGGCTGGAAGACTTTAAGCTCTATATTCAAACATGCTATCGTCACTAAGAACGATACAAAGTTGATAGCCACACTAACATCCCAACCTTGGACACACACATTGATACAATTTCAATTAACGCAAGACTTGACGCCAGAATTTTTGACATTCACACAAAATTGGTTGACTCTGTTGAAAATAACGATTAAGAAGTGCCAGGAGATGAACAAGATTCAGCATTGTAAGCAAAGTCTTGTGATCAAGACTATGGTGCTGATGAAGAAGAATTTAATCGCAGAGGGCGCTTTGAAGGAGATAAGCGAAAAGGTCTTAGTGATTGTCGATGACATTTTAGAAGACTCTAAAGTTAAATATTAACTAATTGACACCTAATTGATTGATTTTAAGTTTCTGTTAATTAAAGAGTTAAAATACAATAGTGACACATTTGTTGCAATTCATTACGTATCATCTCATTTCAAAACATTTCAAATCACTTTATACTATTACGGAATTCACAATGAACGGTATTCGCATACCATTTCCTACAAAAAGTAAGCAATTGTGTAATCTTTGGCAACTAAATAGCCCTTACCGAAAGGGATTCGATTACGAAGTTTTCCATTATAAAATACATTGTATTCAAACGTAACGTGTATGCAAAATTACTAATTAACTTTCTATTTTAACGATTGTCCAAAATATTCCGGAACCACTTTCCATGCATCGCTTTCCAAAGGACGAGAGAAATTATATATCGTACAAGCCCATAGGTGGTGGTACTCGAATCGCATAGGAATGAGCGTGAAAAGCGAATACAATAGATATTAATTTATTTATCGATGCAGTTAACGCCTGCGTATTGATATACTGACAATTTATATGGGGTTTTATAATATCGATGAATAGAGAAAGCATTAAGTTTTATTGAACAGTGCATTGTATTGGAACTTCAAATTTGTCTGAGAGAGACGTAGTAGCTATAACTCAAACCTCTAGAATTGCCCTTTCATCTACTCACTGGACAAAGATTTATTGGATTTAAAGTAATTATAATAAATTATGTTTTTTTTTCTCTTTTTTGGCAACCATATATTATGTTAACAGAAACCGAAATTATGACACTTAACACAGCTGTTAATCATTAAGCTAACGTGTCAACCGTGCAACTTAAAGCCATTTGTTAAACGTGTCATATAACGGAGAAGTAGTCCTATATAATATAGCCATAACAGGTGTAATTCTAATAATAACATCTGAGCAACTTTTAAAAATGGAAATCCTCTAATGGTACTCTCCTAAGATTGCGTGTTGTCGTGTTCAGCAGCACTTGCGCTACTGGAACAGTGGGCACAATTATCCTACACGCTAATACTCACTAATCATGGTAGGTACTATAACAACTTTACACTAATTAAGTATTTGGTAAACGCTCGAATTTGTGTTATTTCAGAATCTAACTACAGATCAAAATCACAGCAGCCGCAAGCAATTGCAACCATTGATTTAGTCCGAACCTTTTAAACACGTGGATATATCCATCATTACAACTAGTTGAGTTATAATGGACGCTAAGATAACATTTGGTTACAAACTTCTACGGGCACAGACCATTCACACAAATAAAGGGGTTAACCGGTACTACGAATAAGACAGGCACTGATAAACCTTTGGTAGGTGCCCTATATGCAAAACAAACATACATTCTTCTACATCAACAGCCTGTATGCCATGAACTATTCATGGTAGAACATAGAATGAGAGGTTGGAGATCACAGTACCATTTACTTTGTACAGATTTAGTTAACATCAGTGCTGTCCGGACTCTACTTACAGTACAGTTGGTACCCTTGGTTAGTTCTTAATATACCCGTGGAAAGCTTAAGGGTCTGGGTAGGACTCTGGTTTGCGAAACTAAATTGATATCGCTTTATGTTATCAGTGTGCTGGAGAAAGCAGATGATAATGCTTGAAGCGTGACGCGTTAATGTTGCTTGCAAATTCTACAAAGGTAGGGCATAATGATTGTGATTTGTGATTCACTGACATCGTTGTCAGGCCAACCTTGAAGCTTGTTAAATCTATGAACACTGCGTACATGTAGTTTTAATTGCCTCTCTTTAATACTATTGATGTAGGAAGGCATACTATACTTGTAAATGAGTTATGTTGGGAATGCCTATTGCTATGTTTTGAAACCGCCATCCTTTTCTATTTACAATAGGCATTGTTATGTCCTTTGTTCTCCATGAAGGAGAGAAAAAGACAGATGAACCGGTAGTCTAAAATCCTAATAATATTTTCCCATCTGGGAACGAAATTCGAATTGTCTAAGCACTAAATTTAAAAAAAAATTAAAACAGCCATTTTTACTAAGAAATCTACGAATAACATATAATACAAAAAGTAGATATCAGGTAATAGCAAATGAGAATAACCATGCCGTATCATTCACCAAACTAGCCACTTTCCATGTTTTCTTTTTACGGAAACATTAACACCAGTTCTTAGTATGCGCCATAACACACAATTACAGAGCTACAAATGTATGTTATTTAACATAACTACGTAAAGCAGCACTTAAGTTACGTATGCATATAAAGGCCCTTTGATTCAGTTCAAAGTGAAGCCAAAAAAAATACCAATCATGATCTTGCACCTTTATGATTGAAACGTCAGACCATTGCGTTTGTGATTATTTTTAATTACTTATCCGATAGGTTTAATATCGTAATTTCTAGAAAGTTATTGAGATCCGCGGCGAGATTTGGATTTAATTGTTGGGTTTTAACAGATTATTATCAAACTTTAACAAGAAAATGATGACGAAGAGATGTATGTATGTCTTATTAGGTGTTATGTCTTATTTTCTTTGTTTAATACTATTTTTGTTGCATTATTTAAATGGTTATTTAATTTAGTTTTACGTGTTAAAAATGTATCAATCTCGCAGGTCAACTTAAGATAAAAATGTAGCTAATAGGCAGTTATTACACTTGCGTCAAAAGTCGAAAGTCTGCACACAGTACTTATCGAATATTTGCTCATAATTGTCACATACATATACGATTTCAATACCAAAACAAAGCTAGAATTTGCCACATTACATGACGTCATAGCTACCACTATTTTTTGGTGGTGGTGCTTGCTCCCCCGTCGGTGCTAGCGAATGGAGCAGTCGACCGCAAACCGCTGAGCAAGCGCCACTTTCCACCGAGCCACTCCTGCGCAACCTCAAATTGTACACTAGTGAAGCTTATTGAGTATTTTGTGAAGTGACAGTGATGCAACCTTGTGCATATTAGTGTTCGACATGCTTTTATTGAGGACTTTTGGCAGTGCAAAGATGAATGGTAAGATTACTTCCTGGTGTTATTTTACAGGAATATTTTATACTTACACTCTATATTCTGGACCTCTTTCTGAAAATCAGCTGTTATTGTATTTTAAAAAACAGTATTTTTCGGTAACATATAAATTATGTAGGTTTTTTTTTATTTATGCATGCAGTATTAAATCATATACGATCGTGTTTTATCATTTTTTTTTTTGTATCTTGTATGACACTTAATATTTCACATTGATTGATTTACTTGACTTTACGATTGATGAAAAACATAAAAAATGAACGTTTAGTAATATTTAAAATATCCAAATGCAAATATAAATCAAAAACTGTTAGATAGGTACTTAAACATTTAAAAAATCATTTTCATCGGATTCAAAATTCATAAAATTTATTTATTTATGTAGATTTAAAAACTGGCGTAAAAAGATTGAATAAAAAAAAAGTTAAACAGGACGTGCATAATTTTATGTGAAAAGCCCCGTTAGTATCGGTTGCGCGTGCGCATGTTAACAAACCTGAACAATATCTAGATCGGATGCACACATCGAGATAAGTAGGGCTTATTTTTTATCGAATTGAATTAATAAGCCTTAGATAGCGAGCTTTCTTATAACTACTTAATATACCAGACTTATGACTTATACTACTTTTTCCCACCGACCATTAATTTATCGTTTTCCGACTGTGATTGCGGTAACTAAATTAAGGTTGAATTACTTTGACACAGTTAGGTAGGTACGTACTTTCGTTGTGTCGACAGCTTTTATTAAATTGCGGACTATTTACACACTTTCCAGAATCTCCGGGGCTTAGAATTTTTTTTGGGTTTACTTCCCACGAAATATTGTTTCATTTTATATTAGGTACTACTAACGTAGGTATTTATTTAATTTTATTAAGGCATGTCAACATCACTATCACTATATACACAGTATAAAACAAAGTCGCTACCGCTGTCTGTCTGTCCCTATGTACCTATGTTTAGATCTTTGAAACTACGCAACGGATTTTGATGCGGTTTTTTTTAATGGATAGTATGATTCTTAAGGAAGGTTTATTTGTAGGTATTATACATGCATATTGCGCCCGTGCGAAGCCGGGACGGGTCGCTAGTTCTGTATAAATGTAAAAGCATGGACAATAAAGAATTTAACAGACATACAGTCAATTAAAGGCAAGACAACATGTTTCAATTTGAGTAGATTAACATAAAGGTCGTAGGGACCCGCTAGATACATGTGGCTTCCATCCAGATGATCTGGAAGTTGTTGGGAGAGCCGTAGTAGTTATTTATGACATAATGAAGAAAGAATTTCTATTCTGTTTTATTATTTATTTTGTTCAATAGATAATAATTTCATGATTGCAAAGTAAATCTTTGTCTCGATATTTTCGTTGTCTCCGCGGGGAAAAATAGAAAGCAAGTCGTGATCGATTAGACATTTTCACTTTTATTGTACTCCAAAGTATACAAAATTAGATTCAATTCGCGCATTGTTTGTACAATATGTAACTGGCGTGAGAAAATATTGAAAAAAAAAATATTGTCTATCATAATTTGATAGTAGAAGACAATTGTTTTATATATAGAGTGTAAACGGAACGGTCTACTAAAACACCAACAGGTGATGGTAAGAAGCAAGTTTTATTTTCATATAAGTAAGGAATTTAATATTTCTTTTATGTAGGTATTAATAAAAGTTGTCACCAACGGCTGATATTGCATAAATAACACGAAAACAAAAACGATTCAAATTGTGAAAACTATTTATTTTTGTCAACGTTTCGGGAGCGTTCGTTACACCCTGTAGCTAGCTTTTTTTTTAAGTGGGGAAATCATCGGATGACTGCTCCCGCCTGGGTGAGGCGGGAGGGAGTGTCAGACTCTTACTGACTAAAAACCACGCCGTTCCTTCTCCTGCACGTCGAGCTGGAGCCCCGGTAACCCGTTAGGTTCTTCGCGATTCTGAATCGGCATCGGCCCTGTCGGGCCCCATCTGTAGTGGTCTGATGGCTCTTTGAGGCACCG